ACACACACACACACACACACACACGTGTGGAAGTGTATAGTGTATATTTCCATGTTCTAGCAGTATATTCATTCGATCTTGAGACCTTCCTGTTCTCTCTCTCTCTCTCTCTATATATATATATATATCTGTCTCTCTCTCTCTCTCTCTCACACACACACACACACACACACACACACACACACAACCTACAGTCTGGCACAGTCATGACTTTTTTGAGTGTATAGCGAATATGACAACACCCGAGCCCGGGTAGCACATCTCCCAGCCTCCCAGGGCCAGGGGAACAGCCGCTACTGCCAGCAACGACCAGAAGGGCATACCTAAGAGATGTGCGGTACCGGTAGGGGCATATGGAAAATTCTTGTGCCTGTACTGAACGGCTATCCGGTAGAGGCAAACTGGAAATTTGGCGCGGGTAACGGTAGGGGCATATTGAAAATGTCTCAGGCCCAAACGACGCCAGGGTTTTTTTGTAAACTTGAATGAACTGTCAGAGGGGTAAATCAGGGCATGATGAGGGGTAAATCACAAATAAATGCAAACTTCAGGGGCATTTCGAAAATTTTCCCGTTAAAAAAAAGAAAAAAAAAAAGAAAAAAAGACCCAGCGATATGGGCTACCTGTAGGCCAGCCACAGCCCTTCTAGTTTTGTTGGCACTGACGGACCCCGTTTAGGGCTGAAAAAGCTGATGTTGGGGGTACTTTAGGGGTCTTGACAACTGAGATGGGCCTTTTTGGCCTTGACCTGAAAGCTCGCGGAAAGTACGGGTCGGGTGTCCACGTGTCGAGCAGCCACGTTGGTGGCTGGGGTTGGCAAGGAGAGCGGGTTTAGTGGAATGGAACGTAGGCGCACGCGCACGCGCACGCACACGCACACACGCACAGGCACACACGCACACACGCACACACCCACGCGCACGCACACACCCACATCTCCCACACACCCACATCTCGCACTAACAAGCAGACGTTTCAAATTTCAATTCAATCCACACTGGTGAGTCAGGAAAGTCTAATGAAACAAGCGACCTCACATACACACACAGACACACACACATGAACGCAGAGGTTCAATCTTCTAACGAGTCGCTGAATGTCCGACGAGATAGTCTGTCAGAGTGTTCTTGTATTTAACGGCTAGACACCGCAACAAGAGAGAGAGAGAGAGAGAGAGAGGACTTCCGTGCGGAATCGGCTATATCGTGCTATGCGATCAACGGTCCATTTTCACCGCCGCCTCTTTCCATGATCATGGCTGAGAAAGGTGTGTACGCGGCCCCCTCCTTCCCCCTCCCCCTCCTCCTCTCCTTCCTCTCC